GCCCATATATTTCCACTTCTGTGAAAGGCATCAAAAAGTCGTCAACGGACAAAATGTTAATTATCATATCAAGAACATTTTATCAATTGACAACATTTTGATATTTTTCACATGAACGTATATGATCTCAAAGCTTTATGTTCGGGCGGTACTCTGTTAGAGTGTTTAAGGTATATTGACAGATCCAATAGAAGCTTAAGTCTGGCACACCTACGACGCGTATTGAATACAAATGAATTCAGCTTTTTGATATTCAAAAGTAAGCGAAATGCGTTCCTCCTATATGGAAGTATTCTGAAAAATCTTCCGCATAGTAGATCCTCAAGAATGTCAGATTTGTGGGATAATCCTCCAGGAGACCGCAAAAATAATAGAATCTGTAAATATGATAACATCACTAGGGGTTGGTTACTTTCTTTCGATGATTGTGGTTTCATACGATTCTCTAACGTAAACCAATTAATTTCAAAGTTACCGTATTTCCTCTGATAGAATCCTACCCAAACTTTAAGCTCAATTATCTCGATTCATGTGAAAGGTATCAAAACATTTTCAAATTATAAAATATATATATCATAATATGAACATTGTTTTATCAATTGGCAAAATTTTAGTATCTTTCACAGGAATCGATGTAATTGAGCTCGAAGTTTGGGTGGGATTCTATTAGAGGAAATACAGTACCTTTATCCTGTTTCCCATTTTTTAATTCTCACACTTCCTCATTCCTGTTTTGTTTCAGCAGTTATTCCTCTTGCATCCAAATCAATCGCTATTTTTGGTACCATATTCTGTTTTAAAAGGCTCATAGTTGTTCCAAACACTTCTGTCCCCAAAGAACGACAAATGTCCAATTCTTGGTCTATCGGTTCTCAAAAATAGAGATGTAACTAGCTAGCTAACTGCTAGATTTACTGAACACTGAAGTTATCTTCAAAGATCAAACTCTCAAAACACAATTGTTCCAAACAACTGCTCTTTTTCTCGAACATTCCATCCATTCGTGACTCAACATTTCGAACTTTCTCTGTCTTCCTAAAGTACCGCTGACACATCACGTGGTGTGGGTTCCCCCATAGCTTTTCTAGATGACGACAAGTATCACGTTGTCTCCATTATGCCGTCTCCCAGACCACGTGTTTCTTCTCCTCCCAGTGCAGTCTGTCCTTTTCCTTTGTATATATTCATGATGAAAAGAGAGAGACAGCGAATTAGAAATAGTAACACGAAAAGAGAGATTCCGGGTTAACATGGAGACGCAGATTGAAAAAGGATGCAGCTGCGGCTAGTGCAAGATGTTGGGGTTGAAACGAAACGGGACGAATGTGGCGTGATCCACTCGCCCATGTTCTGTGATGACCCGAAATATTGGGCGAAACAGAGAGGAATTAGAGAAAGAAAGAAAGTGAGAAACTTTCTGTTCATCTTTTGTCAGTTATCTCGCTTATCACATAGTTTTCACTTAACTTTCTGGTTTTTGACACTCTTTCTCTACGAAAATTTTGATTTGACCCAATTGAGCTAGATACTCCATTTGAGCGAGCATACATATTCCTCATTATAATTTTAGACCTCTTTCTATCTTTTTCTCTTCTTTCTTTTTTATACTTTTTAATATAAAATGTGGAATATCTTTTTTCCAGAATGTCCACCACAAGTACACTTATCTATCGATCAACACTACCCATCCTCCGTCGACGTTCACGTTCTGTCGATGTTCTCTCCAGCACCACAGAACGCCCATTTTTCAGCAGTTCCAATTCACAAGGTATTCAATAACTTCAAATTGAACATTTTCTATGAATCATAGTATTTCAGGGGGAGCGAGTACACCACCAGGAGCATCCGCGAGTCCATCAGGAGCCACAGCTGCAGTTCCAACGAGTTATGCCTACATTTCGGATATGTTCAAGAGTTTTGTGTCGAAAGTAGAGGCAAGTTGAATTTTTAAAAAATCGAATAAAAATAGAATAGGATTTCTAGAATCCACTGAACTATTTGAGCGTCGGAACATCGAAAGCGATAGCCAAGGAAACTGTTAAAGTGGAATCAAAGACACAGTGAGTGTTTTAAATTGTCAAAAAATTCTCAGTCATTAAAAAACAAAAAGAAAAATACCTTAAAACCTGTAATAGATGGCCCACACACTGTCAAATTTGAGCTCAATTATCTCGATTCCTATAAAAGATGGTCAACTGATAAAATGTTTGTGATAACTTGATAAACATTTTGTTAGTTAACAGCTTTTCCATAATTTTGAGAGAAACCGAAATAAATTGGCTCAAAGTTAAAAGTTAAGGGAACCTCCTGATAAAGATTTCAGTATCTTGTTAAATAGGGTAACAGGGAGCCCTTCTATTACAGTTATAACGGTAAATTAAAAAATCTAAAAGATAAAAAATTACTTTCAGAATCATTCAAAAATCCAACGAAAATCGTGTATCCCGATCAGAAGTGACTGCCAAGACACGAGCTCTTGTCAAGAAAATCCTGATATCCGAAACCGCGACGTCTCGATTGACACGAGTTCGAGACCTCTCCGAACACATTATGGCATTCCCACCGACACGGATTGTTGCCGCTCAGGAGCAACGTCTGGTTGCCGAGCTGTTGGAAATGGTGATATACGGAACGAGTGATCAGTTGAAAGAAGAAGCGAGACAGTGTCTCACACTTATTGGAGTTCAGCCACCACCCAAAGGAAGAGGTGAGATTTTATTCAAAACTGGGTCCAATCCCAAATGAAATGGTTTCAGGAGTCAATGTTTTGTCGATCGATGGAGGTGGAACACGTGGAATGATGGGACTTGAGGTTTTGGAAAAAATTGAGAAGTTGTCTGGAAAAAAGGTGAGAATCTGAAGTGGGATTACTGTAGTTTAGAAAACGAAGAACGGATTCCTTTTGCTCAACCAAAAAATGAAATTTCTGTGAATTCGAAAATTCCCTTTTTTTCAAAATTTCTCAACACTTTTTTTCAAAAATTGCTCTTTCTTTTGAACATTTCAATTCGCTCAATTTTCATCAAAAACTCTATTTTGGACTGTCTGAAAATTTCAGTGTTTTTATTTCTGAAAAATTGTTTCCATTTTTTTCCAATCCCACGTGACTGTAACAGACTGTCAACCCAAAAATAACTTCCCGATAGGAAAGACAAAAGAATGCGAGTTGTTTTGATAAAAAGACAAATTTCCAGATCTGTGAAATCTTCGACATGATCTGCGGAGTCTCAACTGGAAGCATCATTGCCGCCTTGCTCACAGTCAAAGGTTATTCCGTGGCAGAGTGTCGAGAAGCTTATATGGACGTTTCGAAGAAGCTTTTCACACAAGGAAAATTCCAAGGAGGAATGGGACTGATTCTGCAGCACTCGTACTACAACACAAATCTATGGGTCAGCATTCTGAAGAAAATGATTGGAGAGGAAGTGACCATGATCAATACTTCGAAAAAATTGCATACTCCACGATTGGCCATTATTTCTTCTATCGTTAATTTACCTACGATACAGCCTTACGTCTTCCGAAACTACGACCATCCAGCTGGACGTGATTCTCACTATCGAGGTGGCACCGATCACTGCCTCTGGACTGCAATTCAAGCATCTGCGGCGGCTCCTCTCTATTTCTCAGAAGTCAAGTTAGACAATCTTCTGCTTCAAGACGGAGGAGTCTATGCGAACAACCCAACTGCCATTGCCTATCACGAAACTAAACTCCTGTGGCCGAATGAGCCAATAAATTGTGTGGTGTCGGTGGGAAATGGACGGACTGTGACGTCTGTGGAGCCAACACCTACCGTATTCTCCACATCATTCCAAGACAAACTTCTCCGAATTATTGACAGTGCTACTGACACAGAAGGAGTTCATATGAATGTACACGATATGCTTCCAGAATCCGTCTATTATCGTTTCAACCCATACATGACTTACGCTTATGGACTTGATGAAATCGACCAGGAGAGACTGGAACAGATGGCTAGTGATGCTGCATTTTATGTGAGACGAAATTCCAGTAAATTGGAATCGGCTACGGAGAGATTGTGTCTGAGACCCAATGTTCAACAACGCGTTCATCGTAGTGTAAAGGAGTGGATGGATCTCAAAGGGTTCTATAAACCAGCCTAATCTTTCTCTCTATAAAATTTCTTTTCAATCTCCTTCTTTTTTGTATTATTTGTACATTTCGCGACCCATTGATCCCATTACTCATTTTTGTACTGTACATTTTTTTTTGTTTTTGTCAGAGGTCCAATTCTGGCTTCTCTGTTGTACTTTCTTCTAGGCGCTCATCGATTTTCTCCTTCTTTACCGTTTTTTTCTCTTCAAGACACCGTTGTATTCCATTTAATGTTCCCAGTTGTTTTCTTTTTTTTTCACCAAAGGTTAAGCACATTTAATGAATGATAATTTTACTCTTTCTCAAAACCCCATTTAAATACATGAGAAAAGATACAACATATTATGGAATATTATGGAATTCGACGAATCCCAAGAAAAAAGTCAAGATGGCTCACAACAATTCTTTCCCTAATTCTGTTTTGAATTCTTAGAATTCTCCCAAAAGGCACCCAAATTGTCTGAACTTTAGCGCAATTTTTCAAGATAGTCTTTCATGCAAAAGGGTGTTTCAGCCCAAGCCTAAAATTGGAAAATGAATATTCTCGAAAAAAAAATTTCAGAGAAAACATTTGGAATTTTGCTGATATTTGGGAATTTCAGTACTTATTTAACTGTGATTTTTTTAGAATATTCAGTTTTTATTTAAAATTATATGCTTAGACTGGAACGGATTGTTTTCCTTCCACTGGGAACACCGAGAACCCGAAAAAAATTCCAAAATTTCGGTGGCCTCTCCAACTAACATAAATTTCCATTCTTTAATGATAAAGAACCAAGTAGGAGGTGTCAGAAATTGGTAAAAAAAACATTCCTGAATGCCAAAAAAACCACATTTCAGTATGGAGCTCTTTATCATATAATATGGTTCCAATAGCAGAGAAAGAGGGGGTTGCTGAAAAACGGACCACCGGCGGGGCGGTGACTGCCGAAAAGGGAACAACACGTTGCGCCTCGAAAATATACCGTCTAAAAGTGTAGTTCATTTTCGACAGTTGATCAATAAAAAGCTATTGCAATACAGATATTCTTCATTCTACTAAAAGTTTCTGTCTTTTTTACGTTTTTCCAAGGGTTTCAATTATGAGCTACGAACGCTCAAAAATGCCTTGAACACTCGCAACATGATTATGAGCAGTCTCAATTTAGTTAAATCTGACAAGTTCCTAGTTTCTAGTTTGAGTTCTTCGTTTGAAAAAATTTCTGGAAAAGAAAGGTATTCGCTTGCATTTCAGAAATTGTTGTTTTTCATTTAACAGTTCTTGGGTTGATCGTTTTATGATTTTGTTCCAGTTCACTCATGAAAGCTCTAATGCTTTTACAGCTAGATCATCCTGAAATACTGATCCTAATCTTTTAAGACACTTAGATCACTCTCATACAAATAATAAGCCAACCCGGAGGTAAACGAATCGAATTTATTCCAAAAATATACAAAAAAGGATTTGTTTACTTTCTTCTGGTTCCGTCCTCGAAGAAAACTCCTCCATCGATAGCGCAATACTTTGGACAAATTCCCTTCTCTCCAGCTCCTCCGTCTTGTCCTGG